TAATCAGGCTTTATGCTTAGTACAGACAAGTCATTTCCAGTCTGGGACATTTCACGCCTATGTCCTTCGTCTTTTAGATATGCTAACACATATTTCAGTTTTAAGTCTTTTGTTCCCTTTAAAACAGCCACTTCATGCGAATACTCTCTTGTCAAGGAACCAAGAATTACAGCAATAACAGCTTTTCCCCCTGGTGCACCTTTCATACATTTCATTGCATTATAAGCATCCATGACATAATTCAAATTTTTAAGTAGTGATTCACCATTTCTCATTTTTGCATTTATTAATCTTTGATAAAGGAACAAGTAATTAGCATAATTTTTCGAAGCATAAGTTTGCTCAAGCGTCAACATCATTTGTTTCGTGGCTGTGCACTCTAAAAATTCCTGATTATCTGTAGCATTAATAGTGCCCATAATTAAAGACATTCCAAATCCATCATGCCCTCTGTACTTTTCAAGAGCGGCCCCAGCTGCTTCAGGAGGATTTTCAGTGAGCACGGAAAGAGCCCAATGAGCTTGAAGGGCATTCTTTACTGATCTCTTCCACCAAGAGAAATTACTTAAGGTGGGCATATTGAAAAAAGCAAGATTCTTAGCTGCAGACATAATGATTTCTCCTTTTATTTATACATTACTGAAACTTGAGAGTGGTGAGGACAATGGTCGATCTTTTGTGAGCTTTAAGGTGCTATTAGGCTTTTCAGCAGCGCTGACAGGATCGGTCTCACCCCTTTTCCCTTTTTCTTTCACTCGGCACGGAAGAAGACAAACTCAGATCAAACAGTACAGGCTTTCTCCGACTTGGAAACACAGGCATCTGGTCTGGTCCCACTAGTTCATGAAGAAAACAGCATGTTGTCTGAATCTCATAAATCCAATGCGAGTTAAGATAAAAATTCTGTTTTAGAAAACGCCAGCACACATGATTTTTCTTGACTCCAAGTCTGGTTGCGCACTCTGCTTAGCTATCTGGCGCAGCTGAAGCAATCTGGGCACCCATAACTTTTTTTTGGTGATTGTGAGATATTGAAAAATGGTATTTAGCAGAGATAAGATGGTCCAGCAGAGCCAGAATAAAATAATTCAGACTGAGAGTCCATGTGGGATTAAAATATAAAGTTTTTACTAAATTCTAGCATGGGAAGAGTAACTGGGATGAAAACTAGACAACAGAGCATAATCGGCTACATCCTTACTCTACAAAGACAAAACTAGAAGAGAAAGAGATTATGGCTACTCTTCTTCTTCTTCAGAACACCAAACAAAGACGGGAAAGAGAAGCCATAAAATGGTAATACACCTTGACACTTTAGTCCCAATCAAATTCCTAGATCAGGGAGAAAATTCCCGGGAATTCTATATCTAAAGAACATTGGTTACATGAGAAACATGTGACTTCCTGTGAATAACATAAACAAACATTTAACCCCAGATATACTGTTTTCAACTTGTAATACCCAACAACTTTATCTTTCACAAAGACAATTCTACAGAAATATGGCCCAGCACAGACGGCATTTATAATATTATGGTAAGAACATATTTACCCAGTATAACTTACAACATGACATTTGTTCTTTGAAAGAGTGAAAAAAAATAAATATGTTTACCAAGAAAACAGTTTTGTCTAAGGGTTGTTCTTCTGAATAACGCCCCCCCAAACAAGCAGTTACAAAAGACCTGATATACACTCCTATGCAATTAATGCAGGAAATCACAGATATAGGAAAGCAGTAACTTCCTTTGATTGCACTGACTAGAAAACCTACCATTGGAGATATGAGAACTGCTTGCAGATCTCCATCTATGTCTGGTCAGGATGGTTGAACTATTCAGGTTTTTGTCCTCCCAGCAACATAAAAGAGCCATGCTGGATCAGACCAAAGGCCCAACAATCTGTTCACACAGTGTCCAACCGCACACAGGATGACTGCAGTAGCATCCTGCCGCTGGTGATCCCCAGCAACTGACTTAAGGAGGCATATTGCCTCTGGTACTAAAGGCAGTAGATATCCATCATGGCTATCATGAATTTGTCCACTCCCCTTTTAAAGCCTTCCAAGTTGGTGGCCACCTTCATAGCCTGTGGCAGCGAGTGCCATAAATTAACCACACACAATATGAAGAAGTACTTTCTTCTGCCTGGCCTGAACTTCCTTCCCTTCAGCTTCAGCAGTAATAATTTTAGTACTATGAGAAAGGGGCAGGGCCGGCTCACTCACTAGGCGAACTAGGCACTTGCCTAGAGTGCGCCGGTCCTTAGGGGTGCCAAACTGGCACCCACCCACCCCGCCAAAAGCCCTGCAACTTTCTTGACTGTGTGGGTGACTGCTGTACACCGCCGGGTCTTTCAGTGTGTTCTGAAGTGCAGCCGTCCTCCTCTTGGAGGAACAGGAGCCAAGGAGCTCTCGGAGGAGGGGAATTGGGGGAGAGAGCATTAGTTTCGTTTTCCTGCTTCCCAAAGCCGCGACGTTTCCCTTCCTGCAAATTGATTTTCCGTTGGCGCAGAGTGGACAGCCTGGTCATCAACAGTTGCTGGAAAAAGGTGGAAGGCAGAGCTTGGTGGTGGGGAGACCCCACCTTTGGCCGGCATTTGCAGGCGCCTCGGAGGGAGGAAGAGAGACCCTTCCCGCTGCTCTCCTGTTTATCATCATCATCATTATTATTTCCTAAAATGCATTTATGTTTGAAAATTGGTGGGCGCATGGGGGGGGGGCGCCAGAAGGTAGCCTCGCCTAGTGTGCAAAAAACCCTGGAGCCAACCCTGGAAAGGGGGAAAGTCTCTCCCTGTCTACACTCTCCGTACCATGGATAATTCTAGAGACCTCTATCTTGTCTCTCCTCACTCACCTTTTTTCTAATCTAAACAACCAATTTCAATAACCTCAGTGAGCCTTATAGAGGCACTGAAGATACACATCAATGAAGGATTTGAAGGTGTATTTCTTGCATTAACTGGTGTGAGCTTCTAGAGTGGAAAAAACCCCAAATAATCATTTGTCATTTATTCTATTTTCTACTACTATTTGTACAATAAATACTTTTATTGTTTTGCCCCTTCCAACCCATTTGCCACTTTCCCCCAATGTATTGGTTTGTACTCAACATGGATTTTCACTTATGATTTTGTCATTACTTGTCATTTTCTAGCTGAGAACCAATAAGGTGAGATGAGCAGAAGGTTGAGATAGATGTGGATAATTCAGGTTCAAATCTCCATTCATCCAGAAAATTCATTGGTCATATGGCTCTGATTCAACCTAATCTGAAGAAGTGAGCAGTGACTCATGAAAGCTCATCCCCTGCCACATATTTTGTTAGTCTTTAAGGTGCTACTAGACTCTTGCTCTTTTTTCAAACTAACCAGAGTATCATTGTGAAGTTAAAATGAACCTGATGTACACTGCTTGGAGTAAACGTGACCAATAATTATTAGGGAAAATACAGTATTATAAAAAATGTGTCCATAGATTGCATCCTATGAAGTACAAGTGGAGTGGTGCTTGTGAATGCATTTCTGCCCTCCCCCTTCCTCCAAGAATTCCATGAGACCTCTGAGAAACTGATGTTGGGAGGCTTCTGGACCTCTATGGATGAAAGCAACATGAGGGGGAACCTACAATGGGGAATGAGAACCAGGCAAAAATCACCTTGGCCTCCTTCTTCTGAAAGCAATGTGCTCACTAGTACAAGAGTCTTGAACGCCTGGTTTCCAGCCTGGTTTCCCCTCTATACTGCAGCTTCCTTGGGTATGTACTTTTTTGTCTTCACTGGGTCCCATGACTTCCAGCATCAGCTCTTCAGAGGTCTCTGGTTGCTGAGGGAGTGTCCATGAATGTCTTCAAACAATAAAGTTCATAGTACAAACTTCAACACTATAAAACTGTGTTTTATTCAAGTATGAGTGAGAGATTTGAGGAGAGTCTTTCCCTGGCACACTTCATATATTTGGTTGCAGAGTAGCCCTTAATTTTTACGGCTCTTGGAATGCTATATTTGACAATGAAACAGGTGGTTCACTGTACTTCAGCTTTTCATATAGGATGGTGGTGGAAAGTGCCATCAAGAGACTTCAGAGGTGGTTTGCCATTACTTGCTCCTGTGTCTCGACCCTGGATTTCCTTGGTGGTCTCCCATCCAAATACTAAACAAGGCAAGCCCTGCTTAGCTTCTGAGATCTGAGGAGATCAGGCTAGCCTAGACTATCCAGGTCAGGACTCATATAGGATACATCACATTAACTTTCAACAGCTCCTTTATCCATGGACTAAATCAAACCAGGCTTCATCTTTACAATACGATGAAAGGACACATTGTGATAGAAAGTTAGAAGTAAAATTAGAAGAGAAGACCAGGATGGTCATTTAATTTTAACTTCTGCATCAGGGGATTATCCATCACACACAAGTATTTCTACCGGATTAGCTCAATAAAAACCATCACCAGTTTGCTCTGTAAGAATGAGACAAGACCAAGAATATCACAGTCATTAGTAGAAAGCATTCCTAGGAATGCAGTTGTTCCTATTCTATTAATATACACTTAAAATGCTTAAATTGTATGTTGGTCTGTTGCCTCTCTACCTACTGATTAGTTCACCTTTCCCTCCTTCAGCATAATGTTAATTAACCCTCACTGCAATCAATAAAACTGACTTCCTAGCAAGTATATTTAGGATTTCAGCTTTACAGGCATGCCCCCATAAGAAAGTTGGTTATCTTATGATGGGGGCTAGAATTCAAAATCTTTAGATCATAAAGTACTTGAAGACTCACAGTGCAGTATAATATAAGAAGACTTTGCATATATACAACCTGCTTTGCAAATACACCAGTGTATGTGATATCACATAATATTTAACTTCAACTGTAGTGATGAACTTTATCCCTAACAGTAAAGACACCAAAAAGAGATCAATGCCATATTGCATTTCAAAGAAGAATACAGAAGAAATCAGGATAGGAAATTTGTAATGTTAACAGATGAATTAGTGTCTTAAGGCCTTAGCTTGTGACGAAAGCAAATATCAGAGTCTGGTAAGGCAATACCAAGTCCCATTCTATTTTTCTCCAATCCTATCTGTTTCTCTTCCATTATTTCCACATCAAAATAAGCTAATAATAAAATAATAAACAGCTTCATTTCATTCACTGCAAAGAACCTGCCAGGACACTTGCTGGTTCCAGAACCAAAAGGCATTAAAAAGTATTTCAGCTTCTTTCCCCGTTTGTAGAAGGTGGTTTTCTTCTTGCCATTTTCAACATAACGGTCAACTCTGTATTTCTGAAAGATACAGAATGTGGGAAATTAATAAAGTGGTTACACACACAGAGAGAGAATGGATCTAACAATCAGTAAAAGTTAACAAGTGGTGATTTTGCTTTTGCCCTTCTGCCTTGGCCATCCCTTCACAACTGCTGGCCGTACTGAGCATCATACTTTTTTTCCTTTTACCTTCTCTGAAAGCAGTGTTTTCTTTTGCAAATGTGGGTGTCCCCCCACATTTGTAGGAGGATCTCCCTTCTCTGCACATGGCCCTAATCTGTGGATTTAACAATCCACATTTTTTGCTATGTTCAGAATTAGATATATGATGAGATTTAGATGAATTTCCAATCCACAAACTTCCACAGTGAACCTGACTTGCAGTCTACATTATGTGTACCCAGGATTTTAACTGGAAGATTCCATATTTTAAAGCTGTTTTTATTTATTTATTTATTTATTTATTTATTTATTTATTTATTTATTTATTATTCACATTTTTATCCCGCCCTCCCCAGAGGCTCAGGGCGGCTTAC